TATGACAAGCTCCGCTCGACAAAGTCGACAGCGGAGCTAAAAAAAATTGCGGCCAATAAAATAAAACTTAGCTTAGCTATTACGTACAACTTGCTGTTAAATGGTGTGAGGACTTTTTAAAACAAACAAGCTGTATATATTTAGTGAATTCTGGCTTAATAACATTTCTTATTCTGACCTCTTCAACATACCATCGTATAATTTATTCAGATGTAATCATGAAATTTCACAGGGTGATGCAACACTTTTTGGCAACACCTTCACAGCTTTTCAAATGTATCCACATAAACATAATCATAATTTTAACTGTGAATCAATGTTCATGGAATAAGTTATCAAGAAACAACAAACTTGTCATATATGTTAATTACTGAAAACAGGCTTATTGTAATCGAAGAAACGAAACGAAACTGAACGGGATGACACACATAATAAAAAATAAACTGTAATCAGAGAAAATTGGTTTTATACGCACAATATTCACAAAATATTTGCCGAAAATAACAATATTTTAATTAGTAAATGGCTCGTTTCGCTAATCACAGATACTGGTAATCAGAAATCTGTAATCAGCGAAACAAGTGTCACGTACAATATTCACAATTGTCGGACAAAACTTGACCAGTATATTCGTTTTCTGACACCCGAGAACGAGAACGTAACGCAAACGAAATTAGAACAACACGTTCCGTTCCCGCTACGTACGCAAATTTTAAATTCTCTATTGTAGTACTGTATTACAGATACGTTTACAAAGAACGGAACTTGGAATGTTTTCAAATTACGTCACTCAGTCACGTGCCTTTCGGCTGGAATCCCGGCCTAGTTGAACAATATGGCGATTACTAGTACTAGTTCTAGGTACTAGTTACCTGCGTTCTACTTGCCATTCGCAAGGGACGCCGGAAACCAGCGAACACCGCCCTTTAAAATGCCCTCTATGGCAGGTAACGCAGAAAAGTATATTCGAATGTAAATGAGTCACTGGCTGTCAAGGAGGGGCCCTGAGTATAATTAGCGTGCAACGTCAATAGATGATTTTCCGTTCAACTGCGAGATCTCGCGAGTTGCATGAAAGACGCGCGTCGAACGTTTGCCGCAAAAATCGAACGATTTGATTTTGAACTCGAATTTCTTTATTTCGTAGCTCACATCGACCAGACGATCTTCGACAGAGGATACTCTCACTTAATCGAAATTGCCTATCATCAAATGTGGACAGCACATTATTAAGCATGGAAATATCCACCAAAATATTTTCGCGTTTGTCGAATCCCACGCGATGTTTGACGCCACTACGACGCTATGACCTTTGTTTGTTCTGTTTTTAAGTTCGATTTCAAGCATAACGCGTGATTCTCGCAGTGAACGGAAAATGATCTATTCTGATCCGCGATGTATCACTACTTACCCTTGACTGCTAAAATGCAACGCTGAAGCTTGCTTCTTTCCTAATATTTGGTATGCATGAAATGACCATGGTTTGAAAAAAGTTAGGTGCTTTTCGAGTGACCCGATTGTACCAGCTAATCGTGAGATAATGATTCTTAAGCTCATATCTCGTCACGGTATGTGCGGCTGCGTGGTAGGAAATAGTATTTCCATTGACAACAGGGGGCGCTTGATAAAACATCACTTTTTTTATTTAACGATCTCCATAATTTTTCAAACAATTTATTTGTAAATAGACAACTCAATTAGAAATGCCACAGTAAAATACGTTTACTGTCGGCTTTTGCAACAAAATAATACTTGTAAAATTGAATGCAGAGTAGAACATACACGACAACAAAATGGCCTGGACTTAATTGAAACGTGGAAGATAGCCAACAAATTGAAGACGCTGACCGAAGTGTTCAGAGCAACACAACCATACATAGACGTGTATATTGCTAACAGAGCAGAGGTCAGAGGTCAGAGGTCAGAGACACGGAGAGTGATTTTTAAATGCCAATCTCACCAAATTTTGAAATCCTCTTTCATTTTAAAACAATTTTAACTTTCATTTTAAGGTAGCGAGACTATTATTTGTGTTGAAAATTACGATTTTCACATTTATTTATTAATTGATGAAATGCACCATAAACTTTCATATGATAAAGTCAATATAACATAGAATGTCATGTAAGTTGGTTAAAATGTAGATTTTCTGAAGGGAAGCAAGGCAGCCTCAGTAGTGTTTTCCAAAATCAACAACACAAGTTTAATCTGTGTGCCTATAAGTTTCAAAGATAAACTCAAGACAAAGCAATGTTAGGATGTGTTATCAGTAGCTATCTGACACACAATGAGTGTTTCCAAACATTTGAGTGGTTTGTCTCCGCCCCTGTTTGTTTCACAGATTAGTCATTTGCATATGAATGTGTCAGACACAAGGTCACACAGCCACTGAAAAAAATCATTGATTTTGGTGTTTTCATATGCCGAATTTATCCAATTATAGCTATCCCATTCCTTTATTTTTTTGGTTTCCAATAGCCTTACACATTTGGATGTCCCTACACATGGTAAAACAGACCTTGATGGGAAAACAAATTGATTGTGCCGATAAAAAAAGCTTGAAAATCTTTGCTGTTACTTCATGGACGTTTTCTAGGAGTTTATGTTTTTCAAAATACAAGGTCTTTAACAAAAAATAACGTATACTTATTGTCGTCGGATTAACACCAAATTTTCACAGCTTTAAGGTGACAGTGAGAGGAACTTGAATGTATCCAGACAAACTATTTCATCGATTATTTACCAACGAGTTGTGGTTTGAGTTGGGGGCAATGCGACTAAAACAGTAATTGAAATTCAGCACACTATTTTTTAAAACGCGTTGCTTGAATAAAACACATTCACATTACCTGACTATTGAACAACTAGGAAAAGTGAAAAAAATACTTCTCATCGCCAGCCAGAAAAAGTAATTTTTCACCTTTCATTGAGTAACGCGTCGTAGAATGCAGATACAGGCATGCAAAATACACTTGTGAAAAGCCTGGCAATTCTAAAAATATATACTTTCCTGGGTCTATTTGTAGTCATTTAGTCACAACTGGAAGATGAAAACAAGTATGCAAATAATAGTCCCGCTACCTTAATTCAGGATGGCTGCCAAACAATTGGTAAATTTGTAACAATTCTGAAATTTCGGTGCACCAGTTCTTATAGTGTGCTTCAGAAGTTTCAGATTTCAAAAGGTAAATGGTGTTCAAGTTCTAGGACAACAAAGGAATGGTGGAATAAAAAAATCAAACAAAAACAACGAACTTGGTCCCTAATTACATAGACTCAAAACTGTACTGGGTGTAACCACAGACACAATGGTGGGGCTTTTGGTGGGGGGTAAATACCACTGTACTTTCAGTTGGGATCAAGGCCAAACCACTGTACTTGGGGGTGTATGCAACATACTTAATGGGGAGATCAAAGCCACTGTACCATGGGTGAGCACACCACAGATTCAATAGGAGGCCAAAGCCACTGTACCCTGGGGAGTGGGTCACAGACTCTGGACAGGACAATGCCAACGTACTGGGAGAGTATGCCACAGTCTTTTTAAACATATTGAATTCTTTTATGCCTACCCAGGTACTTCATTTTATTTTCAACTTATAGGCCATTCAAACTCATAATAAAGTTACCATAGCATAGAATACTGGCAGACATTTTATATCCCTGGATGGTTTTTTTCACTCTCAAATTAAATGTATTGCTGATATTGCAAAAAACATTTTACACTCATCCTGATGTTAGCTAGCAAATCTAGTATTCAATTTTATTATACAGGTACGAGTTGGATTGTGTTTATCATTGTGTATGACATAATTTGGGTCAGCATTTTGTAAACACTGATATTTAAAGGACGACTACAAGGATACCTTGTTTACTTTTTCCTACTGTGGCCCATTTTTTTTTAATAGCAAAGGGAGTTTTTTCTCTTCACTTGAGACATGCAAGAACAACTTAGTTCTGAAAAAAGAGAAAATTGGTACTGGTTGGACGAAACAAACAGGTACTGTTTGGAACAAAGTACTTTCCTAGTAAATGAGCATTGTTGAGAACAAAGAAACCAGTAAACAGGTACTGTTTACAAAAACTGTTAACAAATTTGAAAAATATCAACTTAAAATATCGTGCAAGTGAAATCAAAGTTCTGTATCTGACCAAAGACTGGCATGAAATATACCAAGCTAATATTATGGAAAGATTAGATTGAAATGAACACAATGTGGTCATAAAATTTGACAAAATTTTCGAGGGAATAATCCTGACAGGGTTTGCCACCAAGATGAGATCCAGTCTAACAATGTAAATCTATGAATAATTGACAAGTGAATCTGTCTGGAGAGCTGTGGGTGAGCCTTACATCTGTCTGCACACAAGAGTTCCCACGATATTGTACTCAAGTCTCAGAGATGACCAATCAGTGATGACACAGAATTCTGTGCATGTTCATGTAGCAATTCACCACACCATTCTAGAGTACACTGGGAAGGGCATCTGAATGGCTTGTTTACAGGCTAAATCCTGGTTATGCATTGCAGAACTTTGTGAAATGTCCCATTTCAGAGTCTCGTACTCTCCAGTCTTGATTCTCATGATCTGACCTAGGATTTTTATAGATACATCGCCATCTGGCCTCCAATTTTTGAAGTAAGATAAATATCTTTATAAAGATCTGTATCAATCTACCTATTACCATTTTAGTATACAAATTCATGTACACTAAATCCGAGCAAAGTAAACAGTGTCAGGCTTTTAATAGCATAAATATTTTTGAAACAGAATTGTTAAACTTCTTCAAAAGAACGAAATTTTACCAAAACACATTTATAGATGGTTTGGAGCGGTAGGTTTTAAGTTGCATAAAGCCATGAGGCTTTTCTATATATGAAGTCTTGTTTCATCTTGGATCAGGTAACAACTACTGGTACATTGTATTTGTGGAGAGTCTATAGACAGAAAAGTACTATATTAACGTAAGGCAACAGTAAAACAGGACAAGATTGTAATATGCCTTGTATTTTATTCACTGGTTAACTTTCACTCATAAAAACTTGCACAAGTTGTATAAAATGACAATACAATGTAAAGATCACCAAACATTAATGTGACTTACTGAATTGATACATGCCGGTTTAGGATTGTTAAGCGTGTTGGCTACCATTAAACAATGATCAGATTTCCCCAACTTTGACAAAATGGTTTCATTTTATGATGTTTACAAAACCAAGATAAGAACATCTACATATATCGTCACTGAACCAATGTTTGCTAAAAAATAGTTTAAACTTCTAGGAAATGATGAGTTATGATATATCACTAGTTTTTTTTTTCAAGGATAGAAAAACCCTTTTTATATCACAAAATCTCATTTAATAAAAGTGTCACCATTTTTCCAACAATAATGTCTATTTATGCAGACACTTTTCCTTCCCCGAAAGTATTGCGCAATGGATGAAAAAATCAAAATATTGATTTGCATCTAAATCATGTAACATGTGATGATTTTTCCATCCCTATTTAGTAGGGGTTGAATGTCTGAGGTTTCCTAAAAGCTGGTTTAAATAGGTTAATCTAATAGAACATGCATTGTACAACCTTCTCTGGCGTTCCCGAATAAATCTGATTACAGCATTTTCAAAATTTCAGCAAGCAGCACAACACAAACACAAACACAGTTCTTAAAAGCAACCTGACAAAAATTAGCGATATTCTCAAATTGTCTAAGTTCGACAAAAAACAAAAGGTATTTCGTTTGGGGGAGGACTAACTTGTTTTGTAACTTGTTTAATTTTAGAAGTTGAAAAACATTAATAACATTTTTTACATTTTCTGTCTATCAAAAGTATTTTACTTTCGTGTACAGGGAGGGAGGGAGGGTTCAAGATTGTATAGGAAATACCTTTCATATTTTGTGAACTTTACCAATTTGAGAACTCCTTTTACTCAGGTACTGAGAGTATAATTTCACACTACAACATGTGAGGGTAGGTCCACTGTGTTAGAGGTGCATGTGTGGTCTTGATGGCAATAGGAGATGTGAATTTCAGTGGGTAATGAGGACCACCAGGTTTGTCATTGGTACCTGTAAAAAAAAAAAAAATGTGTAATGGATTAGTGTCATATAGCTAACAATAATATCACTATTAGCAAACAATGTCATTAATAACGGTATGTGTCATTATTTAAACGGTGATGAATCTGCCATATTAGACGAGTTGAAGGGAATATGGCAAAATGTGCGAGACAAAGCAGAACATATCATTGCATCTAAACACCCTCTTTGAATCCAATACGATGTTGTGTAGGATTCATTATTGTTATGTCATCAATAGTAGTGCAAAATGAGGTCATCAATAGTAGTGCAAAATGATGTAATCAATAGTAGTTCAAAATGATGTTATCAATAGTTGTGCAATACACACCTGAGAGTCTGGCACCACCAAATGGTTGCTGTCCAACCACAGATCCAGTACATTTGTCATTCACATAATAATTTCCAGCAGATTGCCTCAAAATCTTGGAAGCTTCACTGATTGCAGATCTAAAAGTAAACATAGTAAATATCGATTTAAAATGTACTTTGATAGATTAATGGTTCAATAAAGATTGTTTTACACTGATACTTAGGCCAAGGAAAGTACATGCACCACATATGGTAAAAGTACCAGTTGGACAACTGCATAGTAACACAGTGTTAATATACACAGACTACTGAAAAATCTGTATTAGAAGCCGCATCTCTAATAGAAGTCGCACCCATTTTTTTTTAACAATTGGGAACCAAAAATTCATCATTTCTCATATGTGTATATGCTCTAATAGAAGCCGCATCCCCTCTGTTGAATTGTACCATTTTAATAGAAGCCGCGGCTTCAAATACAGATTTTACAGTATTTAGTCTGAGTTAGCAAAATAACAATTATGGGTGATGATTGTCACATACTAAATAAAGAACTTACTGATCTGTTGCAAATATAGCTCCAGTCAATGCAAAGGATGATGAGCTAACGAGACGTAATGTCTGTATAAAGTCTTGATCTGGGTACACATACACTGTTACTATAGGTCCAAATATTTCCTCTTGCATGATCTTATCCAGCGGTTCCTTTGTCTCAATAATTGTAGGGTCAATAAAATAACCCTTACTGCAATGAAGATGATCAGAATATCAGGTTGTTATATACCTGGTGACATGCACCAGTTCAAGGGGTTTTAAGCTAGGCCTATGGAGTGTTAAAGCACCTAGTTACTGTCAACACCTGTCCTCAATGCAAAACAAACATACTACATTTCATGATTGCCGATTATTTTTAGAACGTATAAATCACCGTCTTTATACCAAACATTATTTAAAATATTGATTTCCATGAAAGCAAATTTTAATGTTTATTCGTTCATATTGTAGAAGATTATTCATAAACATGTTTCAATTAAATGAAAAAATAGAACAGTTAATAACCAAGTGTGTATATAGTTTGTGACATGAAACATTTTCGCAAATATAATTGTAGTCAAACAATACGCAAATTAATATGTAAATTTATACAACGTGCTATACCAAATGGGCGCATGCAACTAATTGCCTATCTTTGTGCCAAATGCACATACGATTGGATATAATCTTGACAGATCAGAGCAATTGCATGTGTGAAACAGGCCTTTGATGTACTGAGTAAACTTAATATTATACACTCTTTTAGTTTAAGTTACATTCTATCACTCTTGGGCCCAACTTTAGCCGTGGGAACTGTCAAGTACTAAGGTAACAACTGTGATTCTATATCACAAGATGATGACAAGTTTCAAGGGCGGTTCCCCTATAAAGTAATTAAAACTGCCCATCTTCTGTAAACCGATACACATGAGAAACTATGTGTTTATTGTTGGATTACCAATGACATTGACCAACAGCTGCTAAACTAACATTTAGTCAGTCCTCGGTGAAACTGTTAGCAG